GAGAACTTTTTAAAATTTGTGACCACCTGTCAAATAAAGACTGCCTGTCAGTACAACCCACTCGTCTTCTGTTGGTTTCTCCTACATAACATAGCCACTGACTCTTAGGGAGCTTACTTACCTGCTAGGCAAAATGCTAACGTTTTACATATTTTATCTCATTTAATCCTGGACAATAATCCTGTGAAATAGGTGTCATTATCTTTACTTGGTGGAGTAATGAAGTTCAAGATAGACGAGTAAGTTGATGGAAGCAGTATTCCAATACAGAGCAAAGACTCTGTCATATCTAACCTGCTGAGTTCTCATTACCATTGTATTTGAATTGGGAGATTTTTGTAGGAGGTTCATTCAGTATTTGTTCCCAAGTTATTAAGCCCCCATAAAGTGACAGATGCCTACTATAGGTCCAAGTATGATTGTTCCAAGGACGTGATCCTGTGATCTTGAGGTGTTTGTACACCCATCCAGGCTGTTAGCTGTAGGAGATGAACTTCCTAGGTCCCTGTGATCTGTAAGCCTTTGGGATCAACTTATCTTCAAAGAAACAATTTACTTCCATGTAGCACATAAACATTCTATGATTATTTGTTTAAACAACTTACATAATATGATAGAAATAAGTGTGTGATAATGGAGATAGCATTAATTTGAGGGTCTGAAAGTTTGGGTTTGAGTTCCGGCTCTGATGTTTATTACTGTTGCGATATTGAGCAACTCATTCTGAGTCTTATTTTCCTCTTCTATAAAATAGGAAGGTTGAATTACATAATCTATAGAGGCTTATTAAACTCTAGTCCCATTAATGTAAGAAGTAGACCTGTCAGCCTCAGAAGATAGAAAATTTGAAAGCTGATGTTATTGGTTTCTTGGGACAGTCTCCATGGGTATGACAGTTGCTTTGATTATCGGAAATCTTTCAAGTTATAAGCATTTTTTTCTCTTTTTCCATTGGTTTTATTGTTATTCCTGGGATTAAACAATAAACAAATGCTTAAATTTTGCTTGTGTTAATGTGTTTATGTACAGGATTCTCCATTAGAACAGCATTTCAACAAAATTAAAAGCTTTTATAGGATACTTTATATAAACAAAACATTGTTTCTATTGTAGGATAGACATTTTAAAAAAATACTCTTATGATTGGGGAATGTAACTCAGTTGAAGAGTGCTCACCCAGCATGCCATAGGTTCAATAGGTTCTTGCCATAGGCCATAGGTTCAATCCCCAGCATTGCAAAAAACAATAACGACAAACTCTCCTAACAGATCCATGCAGATATAGGAGAATGTAGGAATATTGTCAATAAACAATAGCTTTATAGAATTTCTTTAATGTTTTGTAAAATAGGTTTTACAAAACAACACTTGACCAACCATCCAAAATGAGGGTTCTCTCTTGAATGGGTAATCTATCATGTCCTAGACCTCTCTGGTAATTCGAATGAGCCAGGAACTGGTACAGAAAAAAATTTTTTTTGGACAGATTTTTAAAAATATTCTCATTACAACAGTATTTCATGTACATTGTAGACATTTAGAAAAATCAGGTAAGCAAAAAGAAGAAAATAAAAACCATTCTGTTACTGAGAGATACATACTAACTATAAAGCTAGGTGTGGTGCACACCTGTAATCCCAGAAACTCTGCAGACTGAGGCAGGAGGATTGGGAGTTCAAGGATAGCCTCGGCAACTTAGTGAGACCCTGTCTCAAAATTTAAATTTTTTTCCCCTAGGGATGTAGCTCAGTGGTAAAATGCCCCTGAGTTCAATCACTAGTACTGCAAAAAATGAAATTAATTCTAGGGGAAGAAATATATCAGATATTTTTTAATATAAAGACTATCTTGCCTTTGGGCTGAAGTTGTGGCTCAGTGGTAGAGTGTATGCCTAGCACATGCAAGGCCCTAGGTTTGATCTTCAGCACCACATAAAAATAAATAAAATAAAGGTATTGTGTCCAACTACAACTAAAAAATAAAAGGAAAAAAAGAGACTATCTTGCCTTCAAATTACTATCTTGAAAACCCAGATAAACTTTAATTAAAGCAGTCTAGTGATTCTTTTTTAAAAAATATTTTAATGTGTAGATGGACAAGATATCTTTATTTTTTATGTGGTGCTAAAAATCAAACTGAGTGTCTCATATGTGCCAGGCAAGCATTCTACAACTGAGCCACAACCCCAGCCCTCTATTAGTGGTTATTAATAGACTACCAATGCTTTGAAAGGGCATTTCAATTGTTATATTAATAGAAGAGTAGGGGTAGCACAGGCATGTGGCTATATTATATATCTTCTAGTCACCTAGTATAGTTGTGTCTAGAGGCCAGGGATATGAGGAGACATCCTGCCATGCAGGAGGACATCCATGTAAAAAACCTGTTTGTTATGATTTGAGCCTAAACTGAACTCCTTTTTACATAGAAACAATGTACTTTTAGATTGGTTTTAATATATACGGACATTCCAGTTTTCCAGGTTTGTAATTACTACATTAAGTGAGAGAAGCTTTAGTTTTTGGTAAACTTTACCAATCTCTGTTTCAGAATATCATTGTTAACAATAGCAACTGCTGTCTCTTTAGAGTCACCAGCACTGCACAACTTTATCAGTTTGCATCAGCAGAAATCACAAGTAGTTCTACATGAAGATGTAGGCCTTTGTGTTGTTAAGATTTCTACAAAGTAGGCATCTGTGTTGTTAAGATTTCTACAAAGTAGAACAGGACAGGACACAAATGGGAATATTGGAGTTTGGGATAAAAACACTCCTCCTCAACAGTATTTTTTTTTAAGTTCTTTTTTCTAGTTGTAGATGGTCACAATATCTTTATTTACTTTTTTGTGGTGCTGAGGATCGAACCCAGGGCCTCATGCATGAGAGGTAAGCACTCTACCACTGAGCTACAAAGCAAGCCCAGCCCCAACAGTATTTAGGTTGATCTTTCAGATGTAATTAAAAAAAACCAAAAAAACCAAAAAACTATAGTCATTGCTAGTACACATTTTTTTTTTTTTTGTTTGTTTTGTTTTGTACTGGGGCTTGAATACTGAGCTAGTGTCTCCATTGAACCCAGGGGCTTAAACACTGAGCTAGTGTCTCCAGCCCACCCCTCTCCTGCCGCTTTTTTAAATATTCATTTTTTAGGTGGAGTCGGAGACAATGCCTTTATTTTATTTATTTATATGTGGTGCTGAGGATCGAACCCAGGGCCCCATACACACTAGGTGAGATCTCCACCGCTGATCCACAAACCAGCCCATCTCCAGCCCTTTTAAAGAAATATTTTATCTGGAGACAAAGTCTCGCTGAGTTTCTTAAATCCTTCAAAAGTTGCTGAGGCTGGCTTTGGACTCAGGATCCTTCTGCCTTAGATGCTGAGCACTGGGATTACAGATGTGCGCCACCACGCCTGGCTGCTAGTACACTCTTATCGAATCATTAATGCAGTATCGATTATCTGTGAGAGGATTCTTTGATTTTTCACATAGAAAAAAATTTTCAATTAAGACACATTTACATCTTTTGTAAGTCACTGTTTCATATTTCTTTGAAAAAAATTTCAGGCACATATTATATGTCTTCTAGTCACCTAGTGTAGTTGTGTCTGGACACACATTGTAATTAATATAATATGAATTATTTCCTTTTTAAAATTCTAAATTATAACCAGGTCATTATATTAATTTTAAAAACTTTTTTTTGTAGTTGTAGATGGACAGCATGACTTTATCCTATTTATTTATTTTTTATGTGGTGCTGAGAATCGAACCTAATGCCTCACATGTGCTAGCTAGGCAAGTGCTCTGCCTCTGAGCTACAACTCCAGCTCCATTACATTAATTTTTAGAGAGTCAATTCACATATTTCCCAATATTTCTCATTCCTCTCTCCCCCAGTCTTTGATAACTATTACTGTCTCTATGGATTTGCCAATTTTGGACATTTACTACAAAGGGATTATCCAGTATTTGGGCTTTTTTCATTTAGCCAGATACTGGATTTTTTTTTTTTTTTTATAGGAAGGATTGAACCAGGGGTGCTTAAACACTGGGCCATATCCCCAGCCTTTTCTATTTTTTAAATTTTGAGACAGGGTCTTGTTGAGTTTCTTAAGGCCTCCTGCTAAATTGCTGGAGCTAGCTTTGAACTCACGATCCTCTTGCTTGAGTCACTGGGATTACAGTTGTGCCATGCACCTTGCTTGGATTCCTTCGTTTAGTGTTTTTAAGGTTCATTTATGTTAGCATGTATCAGTACTTTATCTTTTTTACGCCTGAGTAATAAATGGAATTTTTGTAATTTTATGAATAGGAAGTTAAATTGTCAATGTATTGCAGGATAGCAAAGAAAGCATTGGCAAAATATTTGTTTTCGAAGGCAACACTGGATCAGAGCCACTGTCTAGCTGGCCATATAAGATGCATGTCTATAAAAAGGCAATCAAGGGCTGGTGCTGTAGCTCGGTGGCAGAGCGCCTGCCTAGATTTGTGAGGCACTGGGTTCGATCCTTAACACCGCATATAAATAAACAAAAGCATTCTCTCCATACACAACTACAAAAAAAAAAAAAATTTTTTTTAAAGGTAATCAACAACGAAAGCAAACCAATTATGTCATCAGGAGATAGTTTTATTGAACAATGTTCCATAGGTAAGGTTTAGGCCGCAATTAGAGCTGAGTGGTAGATTCCATTCAGTTAATCCGCTGGCAAGTCAAAAAGTTAAACTGGTTAACAAGGGATTTCCATCAAGCAATCATCCTTTGGATAGGTTTTGGAGTGCTGAAAGAAATCAGAGGGAGTAAAGAAGCCTGCATGGAATTGAATGCGTACGCCGGTGGTGCCCTTCTGTGGGGATGGGTTTTACTGAGTAAAGCTGGAAGCTGCAGTCACCGACCACTGGTTGAAAAGCCTCAAGGTTCCCAGAGTGCCTTTGCCTGGGCAATTTAGACTCATCTCGGCCGCCGTTAGAGAGCGCCTCTCAGCTGTTTGTGGGGCAGGGCTTTTGCAGACCATGGCGGGCGAGCTTGAGGGATGCAAGTCTCTGAGCGGGCTGCTGAGCGGCCTGGCCCAGGACGCTTTCCACAGGCACCGGGGCATCACGGAGGAGCTGCTGAGGAGCCAGCTGTATCCGGATGTGTCGGCTGAGGAGTTCCGTCCCTTTTTGGCGAAGATGAGGGGGATTCTTAAGGTATTGCTTTTCCTGAAGCCTCTGCCACAGAGCCCAGCCCCTTCCTTTCAGCCCTCAGACTCGCCCCAAGCCCCAAGTCTGAAAAGACTTTGCTCTTCAGATTTCTATGTAGTGGGCTCCATTCACATTGCGCCGCTTCAGATCTGAGGAGCTCATTCTGCATCCCGTCTCTTTCCTAAGGGTGACCTCTTTCTGCTCAAGGCTGACTGTCACTCTCAGGGTACTGCTTTGATTTTTTTTTTTTTAAACCTTCAAGACTTCTTTTATGCCTCTTTTTGGGTGATAATCAATTTCGCGTTTCCTTGGCGTTTATGGGCTCTGGACTTTTAAAAATTAAGAGCGCTGGGTTGATCGCCAGCTTTCTTGGTTGTGGAAGTTTGAGAGCCTTAAAATGAGCCACTGTTTGCTGGCTTATTTAAGGGGTGGATTAGCCAGAATGAACACCTGTTAAGCAGTCAACTGTATGGTTAAGAGCATTTTTACCGATTGGAAGTCAAAATATGGATCAGCCTGCCCCATAAAAATATGTGAAACAAACATAGTAGGTGAAATAATTTTAATGCTTTATTTAGCCCAGTGTTTTCAAAGTATTATCACTTTATATGTAATCAGGATACAAAATATTAAGAATTGTAATTTTTTCACTAAGTCTTTGAAATCCGGTTTGTATTTTGCACTTAAAGCACATATCAATTCTAACTAACAACATTTGAAATGCACAGTAATTGCATGTGGTTAATTATTGTGGTATTGGACAACTTTGGTTTAGACCAAGAAATTAGTCATAGGACTACATCTAGTACCAAAATGTACTTTAGAAATAGACTTAAAAATAATGCTTTTTTTTTTTTTTGTGGATTTTGAATGTGTTAGGAACCACACTAAGCATTTTACATGTTACTTCCTTTGTTTTTTGCAAAAACATGGTGAACACCCATTTCATTTCATTTTTTTTTTTTTGAAGACAAGGTCTTGTTATGTTGGCCAGGTGGGTCTAGAACTCATGATCCTCCTGCCTGACCTGTGGAGTAGTGGGATTGCATAAACCACTAACAATCCTTCTATTTCTGTTAATTTGTAATCTTAAGTATCAGAGAAGGCTTTGTAGAAAATTTGACATCATACTGAGTTTTGAGTGTTTATTGTGCTTATGGGGATGAGGATAAAGGACTGCATACAGTCATGTTTTGTTGGTCTTAGGATCTTCATATATTGGGGACCTCTTTAGGTGGACCATATTTTGATTCTTGGTTTTGTTATGAGATAAAAATTGTGAGATATTCAGAGAAGAGATTGCTTGAAATTTTTCTCCTTTATTTTCTTTTAAATACATTGCTGATTAATATCCAGGATACTTAAGTTTGCTGAGCAATTCTGGGTTGCAATGTTGTCATGGCTCTCTTGGTACTGAGAGAAGGCACCAGAAAATTTGCCTGGGCCTGGTAACATGGTCTTTGTGCAGCTGATTGGTCTGAGGAACCAGGAAGAAAGTCTTTGGTTGTTTAACTTAATACTGAAACCTCAGGCTCAGGGTGACATCTGCTTTTAATCTTCATTTATCTCATAAGCAGTACTGAAGGTTAAATGTGTAATTTTTATGGAAACATGAAAAGTAAACGTTTTTAAACAAAAAGCTTTGAGCAGAGATAGAATGTCATTCAAGAGGGAACATGCACAAATACGCATGATGCAGGAGTACTATAGTTTTGTAAAAAGAAGTGTGATTAAGCAACTGTGGACAGTAAAGAGATTCTTTCTGGCAGGCTTCATGGGGATGCCATTTTTGTTGCTCTTGAAGAAAGTGAAATTGGTTTTTTTTTTTTTGGTGGTGCTCAGATTGAATGCAGGGCCCCACAATGCTATGCAAACACTATCTTTAAACTTCATCCCAAATCCTTTTATTTTTATTTTTTGAATTTTAACACAGGGTCTCACTGAATTGCTCAAGCTGTCCTAGAACTTTTGATCCTCCTGCCTCAGTCTACCAGTTTCTGGGATTACAGGTTTGCACCATCACACCTGGCAATGAAGAGTATTTTTAAAAAAAATTTTTTAATATTTATTTTTTAGTTTTCGGCGGACACAGCATCTTTGTATGTGGTGCTGAGGATCGAACCTGGGCCGCACGCATGCCAGGCGAGCGTGCTACCACTTGAGCCACATCTCCAGCCCAATGAAGAGTATTTTAAGACTGAAATAGGGGCCAGCTATATAGGGCATTCTAGGTTAACAAAATAGAGGTGGGACAGGAAAATGTAGAGCATGTTCAGGAAATGGTGACTAGTTCAATTCCATCCTAATGTGGTAACCACTCAGGAGTATTAGTGGAGGAGGCAAAAAAAAAAAAAAAGTGAAACAATGCTTGTCCCTTTAAATCTTGCTAACATTTATTCTTGCTTTTAAGCAAAGTATACATTTTTTTGTTTATTTTTTACTTTTAGGTGGATATAATATCTTTATTTTTATGTGGTGCTGAGGATTGAACCCTGGTCCTCATGCATGCTAGGCAAGCACTCTACCACTGAGCCACAACCGCAGCCCTGCAAAGTATACATTTTTACATATAGGTGACAGCAGAATTCATACCTTTCAGTCATCTGCAGGAAAATCACGGTCTGTGAACAAACTGAAAATGGAGAGAGATGATAGGGGTAAGAGGAAAGGAAGGAAGGGATGTGTAACCTCCAGCAAGAAATTCAGTGTCACCCTATACCCTCCACTACAGATTGAATTCAGGGACATTCTACTCCCCAGGTTGGTCTGGAGCTAGTCACTTGCTAAGCCTACAGAGTAGCTGGGATCACAGGCATGTACTGCCTCTCTTGGCTCAGTGTCACAAATGTTAATAGCCTTCATTTTTTTTTCCCCTCATTGAGCTAAACCTCCAGCCCAGTTAAACACAAAAGGGCAAACATTTCATCTTCTTGTAGATGTGTGCAGCAGATGATTCACTTACTCTAGTTTTCATTTTTGGGTAGCTCCAAGAGCAATGAATAAATGAATTGGGAGTGGTGTTTTAGGGAGATGACATCCTATATAACACAGTACTTGCTTGCTATTTGCTGCTATTTTTATATGATTTTTTTCACATTTGTAATTTCAATTTATATAAGTTTTTATACTCTTTTATTTGCTCTTGCTTTTATTATTTATTTATTTATTTTTGGTACCAGGGATTGAACTCAGGCACTCAACTGCTGAGCCACATCCCAAGCCCTATTTTGTATTTTATTTAGAGACAGCATCTCACTGAGTTGCTTAGTGCCTTGCTATTGCTGAGGCTGGCTTTGACTCATGATCCTCCTGTCTTGGCCTCTTAAGCTCCTGGGATTACAGGCGTGTACCACGCACATGGCTTGCTTTTGCTTTTCAAGTTGTGGGTATGCCTAATTCTAGTTTACTAAAATTCTGAATAAAGATCTTTGGTGTGAGGATCCATCACCTTTTGTTCCCTTATTTTCTTTATTCACTACTGCCCTCTATGGTGATGATTTTATATATATATTTTTAATTTATTTACTTTTTTTTAGTTGTAGATGGACACAATACCTTTATTTTATTTATTTATTTTTTATGTGGTGCTGAGGATCAAACACAGGGCCAGCCTGGGCAATACAGAAGGAAAACCTATACTACTACTAGATGGGGAGAGTTGGAAAATGTAGTAGTACTCTAAATCGGGGCAGCGAACCATGGCCCATGGGTCTAATGTGGCTTGGCGCTCTTTTCCAATTTCCTCCTATTAGAACCCTAGCTTTGGCTGTTTTGTTTTGCCTTATGATGCTGAGGATCAAACCCAGGGGATGGATATGTTTGGCAAGCTTTCTACCATTGAGCTATACTTTCTTGGTGCCTACTTTTAAGTTTTGATTGTAACATGGCCACATGCTCATTCATTTACATCTTGTCTGGAGCAGCTTTAGTCACTACAATAAAGTTAGTGGTTGTGACAGATATCATGTGGCATTCGAAGCCTAAAATATTTCCCATCTGAGTACTTACAAAAAAGGTTGCTGACTCCTGCCTCAAACATCTGTTTACAATATATTTAAATTATGTTTAATTACATATATGTAAATTATGTTTATAAGTTGGTTGCTTGAAACATACCTAAAAATTGGAAATAGGTACCTCTTCAGGCCTCTTGACTAATTTTATTAACTTGTTCCTTTTTTAAAAAAAAGTTTTTATTAGTGCCTTGTAATTATATATAATAATGGGATTTACTGTGACATAATTGTACATGGAATATAATTACCTCATTTCAGTACTCTTCTCCTCTTTCCCTATTCCCCTTCTTCTTTACTCTGTTGGTCTGCCTTCTGTTTTTTTTATTGTTCTTTAAAATTGCTGCTGTATAGATGTACATAAAGTTGGAATCCACTTTGGTATATTCATATATGTACTTAGCATAATTTTATCATTTTCTTTCCACATTTCCTCCCTTTTCCCATCTCTCCTTCCTCCCTCTCAGTCTCCTTTCTCTATTGCACTGATCTCCCCCCTACTTTTGAGGGATTCACCTCCTTTTCCTTCCCCTTACTTTGCTTTAGATTCTGCACATGAGAGAAAACATTTGAACTTTGAGTTTGACGTAGCTTATTTCATTTAGTATGATGTTGTCCGGTTCCATCTATTTACTAGCAAATGCCATAATTTCATTCTTCTTTATGACTGAGTAAAAACTTCATTGTGTATATATAGCACTTTTTTTTAATCCATTCATCTGTTGATGGGTGCCTGGACTGGTTCCATAACTTAGCTATTGTGAATTTCTCTGCTGTAAACATTGATGTGCCTATTATCATTGTAGTATGCTCATTTTCATTCTTTTGGGTAAATACTGAGGAGTGGGATAGTTGGGTCACATGGTAGTTCTATTCCTAGTCTTTTAAGGAATCTCCATAAGGCTTTCCAAAATGGTTGTACTAATTTGTAGTTTCATTCTTCTACATGTGGATTTTTTTTTTTTTTTTTACATGTGGATGTTTAGTATTCCC